AAACATATGCAAATAAATTCTAAATATTCCTATCATTTGCAGAAAAAAAAAAATTGTTCGTGGTCAATGTTATCCTCTCCTATTGCAGCAAAATTAGACTTGTTTCGAATTGTGTTATTGCTCTCTGTTGACCTTTGTGACAGATGTAGAACAAATGTTCAACATTTTCGTCTTGTACGTGAGAAATGACATTCTACTACAGATTATGTCGGTAATCTATGACGTACAAACTAACAAGTGGCGTGAAATTCACAATACCACTGAAGGCTTAACTGGATCATCTGGTCTCACGTAATCATAATTCCTGGCTTTAGTAAAACACGAACTGGTCGGAACACCCATGCGAGCGCAGCTCATTGAAGATGCGAGTATCGCCTAGGCCTGTCCCGATTATGCTTGTAAAATGCAGGAAAGTTGCTCACTAGAAAGCAAAAATTGCGGAAACCTTGCCAAAAATCCAGAAAGTTTGTACCTATTTTTCAAAAGTTGTCGCCAAAATTTCTTGATCTTCTATGTAAACGTAGATTAAAAATTTTATTTTTCGTTATTCACAATAATTGCTAACATTGGTCTTGAAAAAAAGCTTGAAACTTAGCTTTAAAGAGTTTTTCGCAAATATTGGTGAAATTTAAGGATTCTTAAGTCTAATGGGATAAAACACATGGTTCATTTGACGTCCTGCCGAACGTCATCTTAGCCAATTATCCGCTTTAGTAATAGGCAAAGATCACTATAGATCTGCGAAACTTTGTCAAGTGACAGATTATATATTAGTTTTTCATGAAATTGTTTACACGCTTGATATGTGCTCTTAACCCATATTTTTCTCAAAACTTGCTCGAAGTTACTGGTATCTCCACTAAATTTGAATCAACAATTACATTGTGATATCGTCATGAGCTGTCTTCCTCCATTATCAGATAATGAAAAGAATAATTGTTTTAGTGATGTACACACTCGCACACGAAGTTTCAAAACGAAGATATAGCGCACAAGATTTAGATTTGAGTGCTCGATCATTTCTTGCGATCAGCAAGCTGTGACCGATCCGTGAAAACCCAAACGGTACATGCGCAAAATGGATTTCCAAATCTGGTCACCATCCACTGATAATCTTGTGAAAAGCTGACGCACATGACAAATCCAGGCCCCGTCTTGATGCAGAGGATACAGGACGCGTCACAATAGAGCACCGCCTCATTAACCCATTGTTTACCTCGTTCTTTCGTCTTTTTGTTTTCTACTGGTTTATGTTAATTGTGTCTACTATATTAAGAAAAAGCCTAAATCCATAAGATGTCAACATTGATAGTTAGTTTAAGTTTTCGCAGGAGAATTTTTAGCACATTTTTCAAATGAATGTCGAATAAGCCCAGGATTGCTTCCGTCTTCGGTGTTAAAAACCAATCGCAGCTTGCTCACTCTCGTTATTCACACGTGCCTGGAAACGTGACGGAAAAAATTTTGCATAACAAAATTACTTTGTAAGGATGACTAGCTCAGTCTGTTGGTACCACAACGTTCTGTCTGGACAACGTTTGAAAAGTAAATCTCACTCGTCCATGAAAGACTCATGCATGCATGAAGAGTTTCGCTTGAGTTGCATGGGTTGGAGTTTCCTAACTAACTTAAGAGAGACGTCTTCAACGAACATTATCTAAGATTGTAATGTTTAAATATGTTGCGTAACAAATGTTTTGCTTTGTGATTACACATAGATGCTTCTGTACTTTTTGAACGTTGCTTAACACTAAAATGAAACTTGTAAGCTGTAAATATTTTAGGATATTTAACTCAATTGGAGCTTTTCCTGGTATGATTGTTTTTCACGATTATTTTGGTAATGGTTTATTTCATCGTTCATTGACGTTATTGTGATTTAAAAGTATAGAAGTGAAATGAAAAACAAAACAACTTTGTAACCAGTAAACTCATGCAACAAAAATCTCATTTATTTTGGATATTTTCATCTCTCTCAATTCAAAATAAGATATCTGACAAACAGTCATAATTCCTCTAATCTATAAAATCAGGAGAAACGAATGCTAGTGCTTATCGATACATGTGAATGATACACTCGTTATATTTTACGTAAGGTACATGCTATTTATTTTACAACTCAAAGTTCTTTTCCATTTCAGCAAAAAATATTAGCGTCAAACGTGTCAAAAATTCGCTTGCAAGACTGCCTTAGGTGATTCCTTTATCGAACTGGCGTGGCGTGATCTCACATCAGTTCGATTAAATAAGTTGTTTGAACAAACTCGAATCTGTAAACATTTGCTTGGTAGTCCCTCAGTAATGCAATTTTACCATAATCAAACTGCAAAGTCCAGGGTACCTGTAAAGTGGCAGAGATAAAAGTGGCTAAGCAGTTTTTTTTTAGTAAAGTCACAGAGTGTTCAAGTCCCGCTTGTGAAAAGCTATACGCCACGTTGAGTTCTCTTTGGCTTCCATAACTTTTAAGGGTCTACTCTGATTTGGGATGTCCTGAGTTTGTGGGTCTACACCATTTGAAGACGTCACCATTTCTGCCGTGTTAGCTTGCTGTACCTCCCGTATAAGAGTGTTGCACAGAATTCTTGCCATCTGCTTGGATAGCTGCTCGGTAATGGATGGACTTCTTTTGCGTATTCTTGTCATTTTGTTATCTAATCGTTCTCCGGACGAAAACTTCATTTATAAATTGCCAGGTTATAGATTTTTCTTGTGCTCTGTACGCTCGAAGGACTTGAAATTTGATTACCGAGAGCTTGTGTAAGCTGTTTCAAAGTTCCCGATGGAAGTTGTGAGATCTCTACTAACTACGGGCCACTGGTTTTCGGTTTTTATATCTGAATATTCTTCATTAAGCCCGGCCTAGTCGCGGCTCAAAGACATATTGTTCTCCACTTCCTTTCTTCTCTTCTTTGTCTTTACTTTAGAACAAAAGTTTGGACTTTAGACGTAAACAACTTTGCCGCCTGCATTAAGATCACTTTAAAAGGGCTAGCAAAGGACAATTTTCTCCCAGCTTGGAGATGTGAAGAAGCGAGTAAAACAACCAGTATTTCTTTTACAAGAATGAAACTCTTACGGCCACTGAAATAAACATTGATTCAGTTTGGTACACAAGATGCCACTACAGATAACAAAGGGGTTAGTGAAAAAAACATGGATCACGCACGTGACATTTGCTGGTCATCTACTCTTGGGAAACCCATTGGAAAGATCTAGAGTGACGTGTACTACAATTACCCTCGCAAGACTTTCTTCTGCCTCACTCTGTTATTTTTTTCCTCATTTGCTGTACCGGGAGAAAATGATTTGTAATTACAGTTACCGTGGCATTTAAAGGCTGTCGGAGATTTGTCCCGGTTTTCGTTCGTTAAAGTGACGAGAGGTTTTATTACTTAATTTCCGAAATGGGATGCGATGCTATGGCAGTTAATGTTGCTTTCAACCTTCCAAAATCATATATGTTTCAATAGGGAGAATACGTATTTACGAAAGCCCCTGTTTTCTGATTGGTTACGACATTAATTCCATTACACGCAACAAAACATAATATTCCAATGTAAACAAAAATTAAGACACGAAAACCTATGCGTCGTGAAATTTCACTTTACGCCTCAAATTAAAAAAAAAATTGCAAACTCCCCCAGTCTGTGGATGCATTGCCACAAAGGCTTGAAATTAAATGTCACTGAGAAAAGCCCTCATCCAGCACCGAGTTTAACCTTATTTTGCGTGGCACTTGTTTACTTCGATAAACAACGGGTGACGTGCGTCAGTTGCAACGTATAAAGCTTATTTTGGATTAAAGGAAAAGCTATCGAACATCAACTCTGCACGATACCATCGCGCTCAAACTGGTAGAACTAGTAGTTCTCATTGTGGTCCACACGCACGTACCAAACGCACGTTCACGACTATATACAAAAAAAAAGGCAGTTTGAACTCTCTTGTTTAAAACAATTCATTACTGCACAGTGAGACGGTTGATTTTAAGTCCGGTACAGAATTCGAAGTAAGACATAGAGTTATGGATTCCTGAGGTAGAACAAGCGAAACCGAGGTAATATTGTGATGATTTCATAGAAATTATTTGCGCATGCGTAGAGATGTGGTTTTTGTCAGTGTGATCCGTTTTCTCTGGCGATTTTTCTCTCCAAAATAATACGCGTTTGATTAAAACGAATTTGCTAATAGAGATAAGAACAAATGAGTTAACCGGTTTTCATTAAATTCCTCTCTTTTCTTATATTTCTTTTGGAAAGGAGTTTGTTTCAGTGGTAATAACTACGCGCGGAATGATGGCAGCTGTCTTGTTATTCAGTGGGAGGATAAGCAGCCTGTTCCTGGCGCAAGTAAAACGGTGCGAAATGTAGGCGAGATAGACATAAGTTAATAGGTGAGGGCAGAGCCAAAAACGAGTAGATTTGTGTCGGGTCGCGACTGGACCCAAGCCTCCCTGGTTTCTTTCACTGTTCTGCCACTATCGCGTCGTGCGCAATCATATTTCGTTTTACTTACTCAACGTCTGAAAAAAGCTAGAGGATAACCAATTGAAGAGAGAAACTAAACTACCCTTCCACCAAGGGGCTGTAAGTAGGACTCAAAACCCTGGGGTCAA